TCTATCTGTCTATCTATCCGTCTATCTATCCGTCTATCTATCTATCTGTCTATCTATCCGTCTATCTATCCGTCTATCTATCCATCTATCTATCTATCTATCTATCTATCCGTCTATCTATCCGTCTATCTATCCGTCTATCTATCCATCTGTCTATCTATCCGTCTATCTATCCATCTATCTATCCGTCTATCTATCTGTCTATCTATCTATCTATCTATCTATCTATCTATCTGTCTATCTATCCGTCTATCTATCTATCTATCTATCTATCTATCTGTCTATCTATCCGTCTATCTATCCGTCTATCTATCTATCTATCTATCTGTCTATCTATCTATCTATCTATCTATCTGTCTATCTATCTATCTATCTATCTGTCTATCTATCCGTCTATCTATCCATCTATCTATCTATCTATCTATCTATCTATCTATCCACCCATCCATCCATCCATCCATCCCTATCTATCTATCTATCTATCGATGTGTCCATCCATCCATCATCTATCTCTCCTCGCCGACTCGACTATCAGTTACACCAAAATGATAAAAAATGAATTTGTCAGAGCAACAAGGTGTTGTTTTCTATCTGTGTGACTTGGTAAATGAAGAATGAACAATAAGCTTGTGAGTGACCGTATAGTCTACTGCACTTTGTAATGAGCTCTTGGGCTCCACGTCCAGCGTTGTGCTGTGTCACCGTGAGGCTGAACGTAGCTCTGTGTTCTCAGGCTAAATCCCAGTCAGAGGGCAGACGCTCACTGTTGGCAGTCTGAGGTGCAACGACCAGCCAAGACAAGTAGTACGGACTGTGGTGTCGCGGTGATCGGTATTACAGTGAGTATCTGTCTGATTGTGTTCGACTGTGTAGTCCCATCGAGCATTTTCACTGTGTGCAACGGGAAGGACGCGGCAGAGTGCAACTCCCTTAGACCTGCAAGACATCAAGCTAAGTTATAGCTAAGTTATGATCAAATATAGTTTGGTGCAGGATATTTATGCGCTGTGACAAATAAATCAACTCAACACCTAATCATTTTATGTGATATCTATGAATTACGGTGCATTCTTTTTCGTAGGTATAGCTACGAATGCCGGATGAGACCAGCTTGAGGACAATGCTACCGTGTCGTGTTGAAGTTATGTTCACCATCTTAGTTTAGCGTGTTAGCATTTGCTAAATTAGCACTGAACCCAAAGTGCAGCTTGGCCTAAATGGGAAGGTCATTCACTTTGCAGGTATTTAGTCATAAACAAAGTTTTTTGACCTGATGATGGTGCCAGAGGAAAGGTCGGGAGGATTCATCCGGTAGGGAACCAGCACAGTCTGACAGTATTTCGTGAAATAGTCACGAAATGCAATCTATTCCTTTTGTGTACAGGGAAACCAATTCTCCGTATTTTCCGTGACGCTCGAAACGACTTGTTTCTCCGTGACGACATTACGTTAAAAACAAAAGTTAGGTTTTGGAAAAATGTCATGGTTGGGCTTAAAATAACGAAAGTAGAGTTTAGGCAACAAAACCACGTAAGTAGGTTTCGGAAAACTGTCACGAACAACAAAGCCACAACCGTCAAACCACGAGCCTCGTGGTTGAAAGTCCTGTTTGTTGGACCCATCCACGTCCTTTCTCACGTCTTTTTAGATAATAAAAACTGTTACTTGCTCTGACGTTGATGCATTGAATTTGTGTGTCCACCACGAAAAAAGGATCCTAACTGACTTTTCGTTAGCATTATTTTCATCCTGAGCGACACGAAAAAAAACAGACAATTTGTGTCCCTGTACACGAAACCAATAGATATTAGTCAATGTAATATGACTATTTCCTGACCTGCCATGACACTGCAGACTGTTTGTACAAAGGTTAATGGCAATCGATTCAGTTATGAAATAAGAGATATCAAGTATGTTTGATGGTGGATATTCATCATGATTACCATTGTCTTCTAATAGGTGTATTGTGTTGATTTTATGCATTTCAAGCTAATATATACCGTCCCTAAAACCTTTCATCCAGTGCACTCCTCACACCCCTCCGTGGTGCTGACCCTCTGGCCCACCGGTGGCAGGAACGCACAGAAACATTAAATCCAAAATAATCTGCCCCTCTCTGATACTTCACTTTGGGACTCAGTATTATTGTTAGTTCTAATCTCTTTCCTGTCCTCTCTGTCCTATCTCTGCCTTACACCCACTCAACCTTTGGTGTGGATTAGTGGGACGCTCCCAGAAACTGAGTCCCAATCTTCCCTCTCTGGACGTCAGATACTCTCCTATTGTGCCCCCCGAAGACCAGGATAACACATGTCATAAGTGAAGCCCTACCTCGATTCAATGCTTGCACACAAAATGCAGTCACTCACAGAACACAATGACGATGAAGAGTTTTAATGAAGTCGTTTTAATGTCTCAGAAACATCATCTAGCATGGTAGTGGTTAGACCGGCCGAAAACACAGGAGACAAATGAAATATACAAAATAATTCATGTCAGAAAAATAAGCAGAGAAGATTATAGTAATGCAAAAGAAAAACAAAAGTACAGTAAATGATTAAGAAGCATGAACAGTATTGTATCCTAATACTGCTACTTTTATTGGATAAACCCCTGAGTTTGAAAAAAAAGAAGAAGAAGAAGAAACCAGAAAAAATATAAACAGAAAAAATAAAAAGTTGGCAGTTTTCTAGAAATTAAGAAAAAGAGAGATTGTGTTGGAGCGCCTGCTGATACCAGACATGATTGCATTTTCAAGTTTTAATATTTACAAAAGAACAAAAAAAAAGTATATTAGCAACGTCCATGTCCGCTGAAGACATAATATTAATGATGATAGTAATAATACTGATAATAATATCAACTTCAAAACAAATTACCACAATTCTTACTTTAACGAATTCACAATTATTTTTTTTTCAAAAAGAAACATAATATTGTTTAAGTCTAATACAAAAAAAAAAAAGAAATCAACAGATACATCAAACACATAAAGTGGTACCCATCACATCTTTACAGGTTGGAGTTGAGAGAGGCACCAACACTCTCTGTGCAAAGGAAGTCCCTTCTCTTTCTCTGGTGCAGTCGTCTCTCCCGTCATCTGGAGCAGTTTATCAGCAACACACAGTTCATAACAAAGTCGTTCGTAGATTCAAGAACTGCTTCAACAACCTGCTAACCTCACGCAAACACTGTGAGATGGAGAGGGGGAGGGCGGGGGGGAGTACTCGGCTGCCACAATGCGACCATTGTCGGCACAAATTGTCTGGAAGTGATCCTATTAAAACTAACAATGCACGAGCCATTCTGCTAATGATTTCAACCATGCTCAAAGGCAACAGGTTTGTACTGCAGTCACTCCAGTGACCAACTCCACAACCCTCCGCTTTGTAACGCAGACACACGCAGGCTGCAGAGGGTCAGTATCACACAAGGCTACTGGGAATCGTCAGCTTCTGTCTGCTAAACATCTTTCACACGGTGTTTAACCATCGGTCCTCCCTCGAGATGTCACGTCTGGGTTGGTTTGAGTTGTTTTTTTTTGAGTCAGCTCGCTGATGATATATGTATATAATCACAGAAAATACAAGACAAAGTCTAGAAGGAAGAAATAAACATGAGCTTGGGCTGTAGTCGGTTCGTGTGCTTTTAAACGTCGATTTCAAGGCCGTAAACTTGGAGGTCACCGGAAACTGTTGTAAACTGTCGAACACTCTGCTGGTCCGAGTGGAGGCCAGCGGAGCGGTTTCTGAATGTTTCTCAACCAAAACTACTGAGTCGTCAATCAAAAGAATGCCCCTTTGTTCGTGCATGTTCTCTTTACTCAATGCTGCATTTGAATCACAACCATTTCGGCCCTGAACACCACCGAGCTACAGAATCACAGCTGCTGTTCTTTCTCACTGATTATATGTTAGTGTACAGATATCGTACACTAACAATACATAACGTTTCAACTTAGGAACACTGACTGTCATCGACAGATCAGTTTACTTCCACACACATTTTTCATCATGAAATGGCAAAAGACTTAATTTCAGCTGATTCGTTCTTCAGCTGATGTGATTAATTGATTTCTGTGTCCCACGGTCTCCTCCTTTCTTCTACCAACACACCAATCTGGGGTTTTTTCGCCCTACTCTGATTTCTCTCCCCTACCCCTCTTCCCTCCCCCACCTCCTACTTGCTATTTACAAGACCTGGAACTTCCAGGAGTTCTGGTCTTTGTAGTCCAGACAGTCAGTGGCATTGAAATTGAGCTTCCAGGCAGCTTGGTCCTTGTAGTCTAGACAGTCGACGGCTCCGAAGCCCAGCGAGGCGGCCGTGTAGCCCTGGGAGGAGAGCGAGGCCGGGGACTGGCTGAGGGGCCCCCCCATCGAGGAGGCCGTGATGGGGCTCAGGGCGCCTCCGGTGCCCGACAGCTGCGGGTGCATGGGGGACAGGTAGGAGCTACAGTCCAGGCCGGTGAAGTAGGAGGAGGAGCCTCCGTAGCTCTGGCTGTAGGCCGGGGCCTGAGTGTAGGTCATGGGGTAGGCGGAGGTGCGCTGCATGCAGGGGGTGTTGGAGGCGGACAGGGGGTCTGGCAGTGGGGAGATGGAGGCCGGGCTCCAGATGGACACCGTGGCACTAGCAGAACTGGAGCTGGGGGTGATGGAGGTGCCTGGAGGAGGGGGCTGAGGGCTGTAGGGTCCATTGGAGGGGTTGGCACTGGCCTCGGAGTTGGCATCCCGAGCGGGCGATGCCTTCTTTTTAGGGGGCCGTGGTTTGGACTGGCCCGTGCTCTGCTGCTGCTGCTGGCGACACTTGGCACGACGGTTCTTGAACCAGACCTGGAGGATGGCAGAGGTGCATCAGTTATATCATCACCATTCATTATCAAATGCTTAAGATAGTCCTACTGCAAAAACTGCTATTGTGAGGAAACCTTGCTCACATTTCTTTCTTTCAGCAAGTCAGTGGTGACTTATTTATTTATTTGTATCATTAAAATGAATTATGACATGAATTAAGGCCTTTAAAGAAAAGAAAAGTAAGACATGACATTTATCTGCATACTTGTTTAATAATGTGTTACCTGGACTCGGGACTCCGGCAGGTTGATCTTGAGGGCCACCTCCTCCCTCATGAAGATGTCTGGGTAGCGCGTTTTGGCAAACAGAGCCTCGAGGATGTCCAGCTGTGCGCGTGTGAAGGTGGTGCGCTCCCGACGCTGTTTACGCGGAGTGTCTAACAATAGAAGAAGAAGAAAACGTTATTATTATTATGATGGCTATTATTATGATCATTATTGTTGTCATGATTTTGCTTGCGTTGTTTTTTTATGTTCGTATTTAAAAATAAATCTGCAACAAAAGGCCTGTTGTGTGTTGGTTCAAACATTTAACTAAAAAACCTCTGGATTCAACAGATAAATAGATTGCAGCACCAACGTATTTTCTAAATCAGACTATTAAAATCCCTTTATTCATAATCAAGGTGGGATATTTTACTAAGGCCCACAAAATATAATCATTTTTTGCTCATGAATCAAGTTAATTATTTGAATTATTTCTCTTGAATTCACAAAAATAACTTATTTTATAAACTGCCCGAGAGTGTTGTTTTTTTATATTATGGCCTCGATATTATTTTACTGTCTTGCAAAATACCGAATGAAGTTTAATAAATTGTGGTCGCTACATTTCTTCATCGGCCTCTCGTGACATATCAGAAGAAAAGCGTCGCTGAGTAAAATATTGTATTTTTTATTACATCGATTAAAGTTATATAACACGTTTTCTATGGTTTTATCCGTCATAACTGAGGCTGTTTGAATCGAAATATACAAAGTGAAGAAACGAAAGTCACTCCAAAGCATGTGTTCTGAATTTGGTCTTAACTCTAATCTGCAACAAGAAGGCCACGCTTTGTATCACGCCTTCTGTCATCGGTGCCAAACCTCGGCATCGTTTCATTCAAACTCTCCTCTCAAGGATGACAGATGCCACGTAGCTCACCCAAACAATATAAGAAGTGTTCACTTCTGGAGAAAAAAACTCATCACAATGGCACAAAGTAAAATACAATGAGCATCCTTTTGTAAATAGGTTACATGACAAGAGCAACAGATTGGAGTCTATTTCGGTGTTAAGTCTGTGTGAGAACAGGCTGCGTTTCCATTCACACACGTTTCTTGTTGTTTTTTGACTCTATAATCCACCGAACTTATAGGTCAAGTGAACACGTGTTCTGATGGCTGAAGAATCAGACATCTATTCATACTCATAAAGCATACCCTTGATACATTTTAAAATAATGACAAAATAAGCGAAATGGTCTTTTTTTACTGATCATTTTACGCAAACATTTTCCGTGAATTCTTTCAGTAACTGCATTTCAAAATTTACCTTTTTTATTTGTTGAAACTACAACTAAACGACAGCTTTAAATTATTTGAAAAAGAAGACATTACTTACTGGGGTATCCAACGGCGGAGTGGAGCAGATCCATGCCCGGGCCGGACAGCGTTAACCCGTTCACGGAGTAATGGGGTTGCTTAATGTACGACATCATGCCTGCTGCTGGCTTTAAAACACTCCCTCACTACCTCACTCTCTCTCTCCTTCTCTCAGGCCGGGGGCTGGGTCTCCTAGCTAGTCTCCAGGGGGTGTCTCTCTCTGTCTCTCTCTCTGTCTCTCTCTCTCTCTCTCTCTATCTCTCTCTGTCTCTCTCTCTCTCTCTCTCTTTCTCTTTCTCTCTCTCTCTCTCTCTCTCTCTCTCTCTCTTTCTCTCTCTCTCTCTCTCTCTCCCTCCCTCTGTTTTTTCTTTGAGTTGTTTGTCACTAAGTTGTTGTTTTGTGTTTTCCTTGCTGGCCTTGTCCTTCCTTTGTACTCTGACTTAGTGCTGTTTAACCAGGCACCTGCGCTTCTAGCTGTAGATGTAAGGCGCTGCGCCTTTACGCGTGTTTTAAACTGATGCGTAAAAAAACACCCGCTGAATTGAAACCGGATGTATATTTTATGTCTCCTCTATCCAGATTACAACCAATGCAACAACTAAAATCAACCCAAAGACAATAAATGCAGATACCTCATTACAAATGATAAAGGCTAACTAAAAAGAACAAAAAGCCCCGTGATGAGATGCAGTGTCTCCCTCCAAGTCGTGCGTAATTGCGGTGCGCACCGAAGTCGCCAAGTGACAGGTACCAAAAAGCTACAAGTTCCACAACAGCTCGGCCGTCTGGCTGCGCTCTGGTGGGTTGCTGCAAAGCGGATGGGCCCCTTTGCGGTACCTGGTCCTGGAGGAGAGGATCTGGATCTGCACAGTGGATAAGTGAGGCGAGCAAGAAGAGGCTGGCTAATTAGAAGTAACTTCTTACCCAAGTAGACACAGAGCCCTCCCTCTCTCTCCCTCCCTCTCTCTCTCTCTCTCTCTCTCTCTCTCTCTCTCTCTCTCTCTCTC